GTTGATGTGAGGATGAAGTGAGAAAATGTGGGGGGTGCCAGGCACATACTAAACACTCAAAGGTTGGTATTTCAAGCCACCCATCCACCCTGTCTTTTTACAAGAAGGGAAATGATGCCAAGATGGGACGAATATATGCGGGCATCATTGTGCAGTTAGATGAAAAGTTTAAAGACCTAGTTCTCTGTTTCCTTCTCTGTGTGACTTTGGACTAGTTACATTAATTCTCTGTACAAGTTTCTTCATGTGCAAAGGAGGTAACGGCACATGATCAATAAAATTATACAGAGTGGCAAACCTGGATGACTTGACTCTTTGCTGAACAACTGAAACTTTTATGAGACCCTTGCTCCAAGCCGTGTCCTGGGAAGGGACCTTCAGAAAGGCTCAGTTAGAGTCCTCGCAAAAGCTTGTGATCTAACATTTCCAACCTAACCTGAGGGGAGCAAACTGAGTACATCTCTTGTGGAACTGTTCTAACCACCTGCACCTGCTCTGGCTGGCCACTTACCTTTGGGTTGATGACAGGTGACTGTCACAGACACCGCCGAGCAACCATGAGAGAAAAGTCTGCTCTGAATAAAGCCCCTTGACTTCCATGGGAGTGTGGGGGTGCTAATGAAGCCCACAAAATATTGGGCATCAATTAATTAAATGTTAGTTCTCCTGGACTGCCCTCTGGGGAGGGACAGAACTGAAGGGCACTACAGAGACGGTCTCAAGGTATCAAAGTATCCATGTTTCTGGGAAATGAGATCCATTGTAAACCCCAAAGGGGGTTTAAAATGCTCATCTCTTACTGGCCAAGAATGATACTTAGATCATGGCAATGAAGCCATCGATGGAAACAAGGATATAGATAGAAAGGCTCAATTTAGAAAAACAGAAAACTGTCCTAAAATCTATATTAAAAAATTGAAACATTAAAAAAAAGAAAATTACAGAAAAAAATAATAAACAGAAAGCTGTAGCGTCCCACAACCAAAGCCAGTGTTTTGACAAACAACTTGGAAGTCAAGGATTTCCAAGGATTTCACATGTGAAAACTGAAAAAGAGACCAACCATGGATTAAGGCCTCTGAAAAAAGGAATGGGAATCCCAACACAGGTGTAAACGATAAAAAGAATGTGGAACCACAGAACGGTGTCCCATAGACCCGCATCAAAGCCTTCAACAAAGGACCAACTCAAAGGTCCTTCTCCAGGATGGCCCCCACGTAGTCCCTAACTAACAATTAAATCGATATCTAGGTCCCCAGAATAGGAAAAACAAGGTGAGCAGCGTTCTTCACAGCATTCCATCTCAATAAGTCTTACTTCTCTTGGAGAGCCTGGGTGGCTCAGTTGGTTAAGTGTCTGCCTTTGGGTCAGGTCATGATCCCAGGGTCCCGGGGGTCCAGTCCCACATCAGGCTCCCTGCTGAGCAGAAAGTCTGCTTCTCCCTCCTCACCCCTCTGCATGCTCCCTCTTGCTATGTCTCTGTCTCTCTCAAATAAGTAAATAAATAAAAATGAAATTTAAATTATTAAAAAACAAGTCTTATTAAGGAAGGCACGTGATGTAATGAGCCCTGGGTCTTATACAAGACTGATGAATCACTGAGCTCTACTCTGAAACCAATAATACATTATATGTTAATTAATTGAATTTAAATTTTAAAAAATGAAAAGAAAAAAAGAAAACCCAAGTCTTACTTCTCTCAAATTATTCATTGTGACATTTTCTGGGTACCTCTGGGTTTCTTTTGTATCCCCCAAAGAAGGAATCATATTCTCAGAAATGCCCTATTTACAAGAATACATATCTGTCATGATTTCATATTTTATCGTCATTGTGGAACGATCTCCCACTAGTAGTGGCTTTAAAATCTTCAGCCTTCGAAACTTCCAGTTTAAAATAAGTCACTGACAACTATCATATGATATCCCTGATATGAGGAAGTGGAGATGCAACATGGGGGGCTTGGGGGGTAGGAAAAGAATAAATGAAACAAGATGGGATCGGGAGGGAGACAAACCATAAGAGACTCTTAATCTCACAAAACAAACAGGGTTGCCAGGGGGAGGGGGGTAGGGAGAGGGTGGTGGGGTTATGGACATTGGGAAGGGTATGTGCTATGGTGAGGGCTGTGAAGTGTGTAAGCCTGGCGATTCACAGACCTGTACCCCTGGGGCTAATAATACATTATATGTTTATTTTAAAAATTCAAAAAATATTTTTAAATGACTAAAATAAAAATAAATAAATAAATAAAATAAGTCACCGGGATGTAATGTACAGCATAAGGAATACGCATAAGGAATGGTTCTAGCTTTGTTTAGTGACTCATGGTAACTAGAATTACCAAGGTGATCATTTCATAATACATAAAAATATTGAATCACCATGTTGTACCCCTGAAAGTAATATGATATTTTGTCAATTATAATGCAAAAACAAAGCCAGAAGCTAATTAATTAACTAATCATAATTAAAAAGAAAAGCTCTCTCTGCCAATACCTACACATATCATGTCATCACCAGCATTCCAGATTCTGGTAGGCAGCTCTTTTTTTTAAGGGAGTGGTTGCTTTACAGTGTAAATAATCACACTCACAAAGGCTTCTTTTTTTCAGTTTTTTCTTTTTTTTTTTTTGATTGAAGTATAGTTGACCTGTATTATCAGTTCAGTTTCTCATGTTAGATTTTATTAAAGCAAGACTCAACTTTTACATACATAGAATCTTTTCTAAAAGTATGCCTCTGAGTTTTTACCATTTTAAGTAATTTATCTTCCTCAACCTCAAAACTGTAAGCTTTACCAATACTTCCCATAGAATTGTTCTTAGAGTCAAAATCCAGAAAGCATTCCGTATGTTTGAATTTTAGTTCTTTCTGGAACCGTAAATGAGAATGTGACCCAGTATGATGGTTCATTTTATGTCAACTTCACTGGGCTAAGGGATGCTCAGACTGTCATTAAAATGTTATTTTGGGCTGTGTGTGAGGGGTTTTCTGAGGAGATTAGCACTTGAATAAGTAGATTGAATCAAGAAGATTGCTCTCCTCAATATAGTTACCATCAATCATCTAGGCCATCGAGGGCCTGGATGAACAAAAAGGATTTGTTCTCTTGGCTGGTGCTGCGACATCCATCTTCTCCTGCCTTTAGACATTAGTGCCGCTGATTCTTGGGCCTTACCACAACTTACCCCATTGGTTCCCCTGGTTTTCAAACCTTCAGCCTCAGACTGAATTATGCCACTGATATTCTTGGTTCTCCAGTTTGCAGATAACAGATGATGGGACTTCTCAACCTCCATATTGTGTGAGCCAATACCTATAATAAACCTCTCAGTGTATCTAAATAGAGAGAGAGTTATTATCATTATAAAGATAGATAATAGATAGATCTTCTTGGTTCTGTTTCTCTGGAGAACTCTTTTATATACCCACTATGTTTTGCTTTGTTTCCCTCGCCAGAAATCTTAAAGTTAAATGCATTTTGTGTTCAAATCTACTCAGGTCAGGTGTCTGAAAGTTCTGCTCTTATTTCATTCATATGAATTCTTATTTTTGATCCTGAAAGGTTCTCATCTCTGCACTGTTTAAGCATCTTACCATCACCCAAAAGAATACAAAGCACATATGTAATATTCAATAAATTATATATAATACTCAACAAATGAGATGGTATTCAAAATGCGTGATTTGTACCCTCTCTACTAAGCATTAAGCAACAGCTAAGACTCCGGGTGGGGCAGGGGTGTAGAGACCATGATCCTACGGGCACCGTCATATAATCTGTCCATTCTTGGCCAGGCGAGAAACACCATCACAGAAAATCCGTCCTTCCCCCAACCCAGTCAAGATCCACATTTTCCTCTTCCATATTCTATAATTTCTGGAATGAACATTCAAATGGTGATTGTAAATGTTTAAGAGTACAACTATCTAAGTGTAGGGAATGACTTGAGTTATAATTGTCTTTTAAGGCTTCCTTCAAGTGAGCTGACATTGCCATACAGATCTTCTTCAATGCATCTTCTTAAATGCATTTTCAAAGCAGTTTGGTGAAAGCGACAGGTGCATCTGTATTTCAAATCAGACAATGTAGCCACGAAGAAATAAGTATATAGATCACACAGAAAATCAGCTGTGGTTCTAGAGACTTTGTGGTGGAAACTGCTGGCTGCCAAAATTTGTCCTCTCCTTTTTCTCAACAATAATCAAACTGGGGCTGGGTATCTGGCTGCCTAGCTATGGACTGTTTTTAGCAGCCTGGCAATTAGATGTGACTTATGGCTAGCTTCTTACCAAGAAACCAATGATGGTTTCTACATCTAGTGGAGAAACTTTAAGACAGGGGGGGTTGTTTCCTCTGTGATCTATCCTCAGCCTTCTTGCTCTCTGGAACCCTGTGTTGACCATGTAAATAACAAGAAGCCCCTAGACTGGGGACTGGCAAATGCTCTCTGTCACAACTACTCGGTCACTGTAGCACAAAAGGAGTCATAGACAACAAATACGGTGTGACTATATTCTAGTAAAACTTGATTTATTGACACTGAAATTTTAATTTTATTAAAGGTTATGCATCATGAAATATTATTCTTCTCTTGATATGTTTACAATCAAGTATTAAAAGTATAAAAACCATTCTTAGCTACCAGGTCATTAAAAATAAGTGCTGAGTTGGATTTGGCCCACAGCTCTCAGTTTGCCAACATCCTAAGGGATGTTGACCCTACGGATGGAAGAACTTGGTTCTTTGAATGCCTGTTGACCAGAGCCACTCACCAGCCTGGAACACTCACTCTGGACTGGTGCAGGAAAGAGGAAATCTTCCCTCTGTAAGCCACATTATAGTTAGGTGTCTCTTGTTATAGCAGATGAACATTTTACTTTAACTAATACCTAATCCATGGTTCCTGACTACCTAGGTCACTGCTCTCTCACTAGTCCTCTCCACCCTCCTTCTGAAAAGCCAAGTCAAGGAAACTAGGTCCTCACCTGCCTCCTCACTGACCTCCCCAAGACCTGAAGGAAAAGACTCGGCCCAGAGCTCCCTTCACCTCCTTGTTCCGAAGACTGTAAATGAGGGGGTTGAGCATTGGTGTGACAATGGAGTAGAAGACAGACACCACCTTGTTGAAGTTGATGGAGGAGGCCACTTTGGTCCGGACATACATAAAGAAAAGAGTGCCGTAAAAGAGGCTCACCACAGTCAGGTGAGCTGCACAAGTGGAGAAGGCCTTTCTGCGCTCAGCAGCTGAATGGATGTGCAGCAACGTCCAGACGATGTTGCCGTAGGACACAGAAATGACTGTTGAGGAGGCCAGAAGCACCACCAGAGAGACTAGAAAATCTGTGGTCTCCTTCAGGGTGACATCTGAGCAGGACAAGGCTAGCAGGGGTGAGGCATCACAGAAGAAGTGGTCGATGACATTGGGGCCACAGAATGTCAGCTGGGACATGAGGTAGATAGGCAAAATAGGTGTGAGGAGGCCCCCCAGCCAACAGGCAGCTGCCAGACGGATGCAGGTGCCCCACGACACCAAGGCCCCATATCGGAGTGGCATGCAAATGGCCACATAGCGGTCATAGGCCATGGCAGCCAGTAGGAAACACTCAGTTGCCCCCAGGAAGGTAAAGATGAAGAGCTGGGACAGGCACCCAGCATAGGAGATATTCTTGCCCCCACCAACCCCAATAAAACCAGCCAGCATCTTAGGCACTGTCACTGAAGTATACCAGATTTCAAGGCAGGACAGGTGCGTCAGAAAGAAATACATGGGTCTACGAAGCCGATGGTTCAAAGCCACCACCAAAATGATGGCCAAGTTCTCCACCAAGGTGAACAGGTACATGGCTAGAAAGAGTGTAAAGAAGAGGAGGCGTGCTTCATGCACCCCAACAAAGCCCACCATGACAAACTCTGTTATGTGGGTCCAGTTTGGGGAGTATGGCTGCATGTGTGGGAGTGGAAGTCAGGACACTCATGGCCTCATAAGAGAAGACAATTCAAAGAGAACCTGGGCGGATGGTGCACTGACACATCTTTCATCTTGGAAGAGGAAAGCAAAGTCAAGACACTGTCCTTGCCCTCAAAGCATATGTAGTCTGTGAGGAGGTCTAGAAAACAGGCAATTTCGGTACAAAATTTAAAGTGCTGGATATGGATGGGGATATTATGGGAGGAAATAGCAGAGAAGCTCCACCAGTCAGGAGGAATCCAAGAATATTTTCTGGAGGAAGTGTTGTCTCAACTGGAACCTGGAAGATAAGGATAAGTGAGTGAGATAAGAGATATAAAGAGATCACAGCAAGGGGGCACCTGAGGGGCTCAGTTGGTTAAGCATCTCCCTTCCCCTCAGGTCATGATCCCAGGGTCCTGGATCGAGACTTACATCGGACTCCCTACTTCTCCCTCTGCCCCTTCCCCACCCCATAAATAAATAAAATCTTGAAAAGAGAGAGAGAGAACACAACAAATATAAAATTCCCGATACCAGAGAGAACACCATGCATTTGGGAAACGTTAAGTAGATACAGGTCACCATGGAAGTTAAAAAGCTTGGCTTCCTGATCAAGCATACCTGGCTTTAAATACCAAAGAATTTAACTACTAGACCAATGAAATTTTAAAATAGATAATCCCTCTAAAGCCTTTGGCACCGTGTTTGGATCAATACACAGTAGAGAAAAGTTTAAATGTTGACTTCTCCTGGAGCCTAGTATGGAGGGAAGACAGCTCTTGTCAAGCCTGAGGAGCAGGCGAGGACATCATGAAGATCGAGGAGCCAAGTTAAGGGAAAGGACAGAGCCAAGCTTCAGTCTGAGGACAGACAGCCTTGAGGAGCTTAAGCAGAGGAGCAAGCTAAGCCCTCTGCCCTTCATAAGAACCACGTTTGCTGTACCAAGGCAGCTTTGGCTTAGTGCCAAATCCTTGGTGCCACCATCCTTGGTGGAAGGAGGAAGAAGGGACACAGAAAATAGGTGGGGAGGTTTTTGCAGGTGTAACATGGGGTGATGATGGCCACATGCATGAGGCCTGGGGAGTGAACAGGGCCATCAAGAGACAGAAAAGGGCACCTGGGTAGCTCAATAGGTTGGGCGTCGCCCTTCATCTCGGGGTCCTGGAATCCCCACACGGGGCTCTCTGCTCAGCGGGGAGCTGGTTTCTCCCTCTCACTTTCCTCTGTGTTCTCACTCTCTCTCAAATAAATAAAGTTTTGTAAAAGAAAGAGAGACAGAATCAACAGGATTGTGTTTGAATCCAAGTTCCAACATCAACTTGAGATATATGACCATGGGCAAATCACTAAATATTAAAAACAGATAATTAAAAAAAGAAACCTAGAGAATGCAAACTGGTGCAGCCACTGTGGAAAAAAGTATGGAGATTCCTCAAAAAATTAAAAATAGAACTATGTTATGATCCAATAATTCTGCTACTGGGCATTTACCCAAAGAAAACAAAACACTGATTCAAAGGGATACATGCATCCCCGTGTTTATTATGACATCCTCTACAGTAGCCAAACTGTGGAAACAGCCCCAGTGTCTATCGACTGATGAATGGGTAAAGGTGTTGTGGTGGATGGACAGCATGGGGTATTACTCAGCCTCCAAAAAGAATGAAATCTCGCCATTTGCAACAACACAAATGGATCTAAAGAGTAGAGTGCTAAGTGAAACATCAGTCAGAGAGAGACAAAGACCATATGATTTCACTCATATGTGGAATTTAGGAAACAAAGCAAATGAATAAAAGGGGGGGGAAAGGAGGTACCTGGGTGGCTCAGTGGGTTAAGCCTCTGCCTTCGGCTCGGGTCATGGTCTCGGGGTCTTGGGATCGAGCCCCGCATCGGGCTCTCTGCTCAACAGGGAGCCTGCTTCCCCCTCTCTCTCTGCCTGCCTCTCTGCCTACTTGTGATCTCTGTCAAATAAATAAATAAAATCTTTAAAAGGGGGGGGGCAAGAAGGGAAAGAGACAAACCAAGAAATAGATTGTTAACTGTAGAGAACAAACAGACGGTTACCAGAGGGGAGGTAGGCTGGGGGGAGGGGGCGCTGAAATAGGTGAAAGGGATTAAGGGGGTCTTCATCGTGATGAGTGCAGAGTAATGTATACAACTGTTGGGTGACTGTATTGTACACCTGAAACCAACATAACATGCATGTTAACTATCCTGGAATTAAAAATTTTTAAATAAAAAAGAGGTGAATGAGATGAACAAGAGGTGAATAAGAATAAGAGAAATAAGATTGTTTTCCAGTAAATGAAAGAATACAATGTCTCCATTATACAGAGTTTAAAATCACAGCCCCAAATTCTTTGACACTCTTATTAAAAAACGGAGACTGTAGCCACTTCCCCTGAACCCAGGCTTGGAGACTGCTTGACTACAGAATGAGACAGAAGGCATGCTGCCAGTTTCCAAGCCCAGGTCCTAAGACACGGATTCCTCTTCCTGCTTTGTGGAACGCAGGCACCACAGTATGAGGAAACCCAAGCAGCCGGCAGAAATGCCGAGGCGGGAAGGAACTGAGCTCGAGGCTCTGAGGTCCGGTGGAACTTGTACGGACAGCCGGCCAGGTGACTGAGCCATCTGGGAAACAGAACGTTAGCCCCCAGCTGAGCTAGCCCAGCAGACACCACCAGCCTCTCCTGCGGAGCCATCCCCCACATTGCAGACTTATGAGCTAAACAGGGGATTGTTGCTACTTTAAGCCACTAAGTTTGGGAGTGGATAGGTTAGCAGCCACATGTAACTGAAACTACGACGTCCTGGTTCTGCAACCTCAGGTGAATTAGTCACTATTTTGGACCCTCTGGAGGAAGAGGTATTATGTCTTGCCTACACTCACAGATGCCTACACTGGGGTTTGAATTCAGGTTGACAAGATCTAAAACCCTCGCTCCTTCCCCTAAAAAAATAATTAAGCAGGGCTCCTGCTGGCTTCAACATTGCATGATTTCCTGGCAACGGCAACGAAAGTGCATAGAGACCCAGTCAGGGAAAGGTCAAAGTCCTCAGATTCCAGCATGCATCTGCCCCGTGCCTAAATCCACAGCAAATGGTCCATAAACACAGGCTTCCTGGCCAAATCACGGCATCGCAGCCCCAGACACTTTATACTTCTGCGGGCACTAGGACGTTTCAGGACACAATCCCTGCACATTTCTCCCCTCTGCAAGCTGACTTATAATGTGGCAGCTTGGGAGCAGGGCTTACCCTTCCTGGGCGCCCATCCTCACAGATGCTCGCAGCACTGATACGCTGCAGAAGCCTGATTTGACGTGCTGCATTATAAACAGGCTTCATCGTATCCCAGACCCTAATCTCTACTTAATAAAGTAAAATGGAGCCGAGTCTCGGTTTCCAAAAGCGCAGTATTTAACCTTCATGATCGTGTGGGTCATCGAATCATCTCTTCCTCTGTTGCCCAAGACCCAGTTGCATTCTTTGAGAGCCAAGACCCTAACTCAAGCTGTCCAATGGATTGGATCTTTATACTGAGAAAACCACTCAGAAATTTCAAGTGCGTAAAATACATGAATAGACGTCCCATTACTTCATTTACTAACATATATTCATTCCCTCTCGTTCATTAAAAAAGGAAGAAAGAGTCCTCCAATTATCAAACTTTTGGCAAATTTTGAAGTTGACAGCATTTGAAACTGATTAATCTGTAATTTATGGATGTGGTTTACCCAGACTTAGGTTCCTGCCACTTCCCCAGTCATGCACTCCTCAAGGAGTGCCTGGGTGTCAGGCACTGTACTAGGCACCAAACCTATAAGAGTTCATGAGCCTTGCTCTTGAAGAGCCCAGAGTCTTTCGGGGGAAACAGGGAAGCATCCAAGTGCTACCACGCAACGTGGTGAGCTCCTTTTCATACCTCTGGGAGAACAGAGCGGGGGCAGTTAGTCTGGCCCCGAAGGAAGACAGGCTAGGTGAGATCAGAAAAGAATTTCCCAACCACATGACAGTGAGGGACAACATAATCCTGGACTGACAAAAATCAAATCCTTGACTGACAAAATACTAAGCCTAGGGCGCCAGGGCGTCTCAGTCCATTAAGCATCTGCCTTCAGCTCGGGTCATGATCTCAGGGTCCTGGGATCCAGTCACATGTCTTGTTCCCTGCTCAGTGGGGAGTCTGTTTCTCCCCCTCCGCCCCTCCCCCTGCTCACGCACTTTGTCATGTGTGCACTCTCTCTCTCAAAATAATAAATAAATAAAATCTTAAAAAATAACAATAATAATAATCCTAACAATCCGGGTTCAGCAGAAGAGACTGGGATGGGCCAGGGAGGAGAGTTGTGAAAGATGAATCTGTGAGAGGAGACTGTGGGGTCCCCACCGAGGCAGGAGGGCAAGACAGCAGAGCCCCATTCAGATGTCAGACTCCTCAGTGCCTTCATACCCCAGGTCCACCACCTCCTAACCAAATTGAGATTAAAAAAAAAAAGCAAAAAAACACCTAGACAGAGGGCAACGTCCAACCCAACTGAATGCATTTCTCATGGACTCGTGTGAGTCACCAGGGATGCGTTCAATGAGGAAAGTTTCTGGGTGAGTTTCAGGAGGAGCTGAGCCTCTGCTCAGAGCACTCAAGTCCTGCGTTTGTAGGAGAGGAGCCTCCCTCCGAGGAGGGAGAAGAGGATGTTTACCGAGCTCTTCCCATGGCCCACATTCTGCAGGGCTTAGATCATCTCCTTTCACCCGACAACCAGGCTGCAGCCCCATGACCTATGCTTTGTAGACGCAGGACTGTCCTGGGTTTCATGCAGTTGAGAAAACAAGCTCAGAGACAGCAAGTGACTCGTGTCAGATCAAAGAACTAGGACGTGACAGAGATGGGACATAAACGTCCACAGGCCTGATGCAAGAGGTGGCCTCCCCTCCCCCTGCCCAGGCCACCTCGCTCTGCCACGGCCTCTCACTGAAGGACACCCCTGCAT